AGTAGCTTCCTTTCCCATTAGCTCATTTTTAATCTCTGAGATGTGTGAGCAATTACTTTTCATTCTTTTATTACACATACTCATTTCTTCTGTTCAGTTATTCCTAGAGTAATGTTTAAAATCCCTTTTTATGAGATGTTTGAGGGTTTTTTTTTTTAAGTTACTTAGATAGCATGGACATCCTGTGTTCACAAAGGAAAGTCTTTTTTTTTTTTTCCTTTCCCCTTAAAGATTGAATTCACTTCAACTAACAATATCACAATTCTTAGATTCACTATATGTTTGGGACTTGCTATGTGGAAAAGTTAAATAATACAGATTTTCTCTAATTAGCTACTGCTTTTTGTGTTCACTGAAAACCATGAAGTAATGTGACAATAGCTCAGAGATCACTCATTCAGTATTTCAAATCATTTTCCAATGAACCATCACTTTTTAAAAATTTTCTTAGCATGATGTTTCTAGCTCTTTTATGCTCAACAGTGTCTTAACAGGACACTTTCTTTCTTCTTTTTTTGGCTTCTCTCCCTTGGGGGAGCCTGTGGAGATATATTCAAGAGGACTTCCTAGTTCAGTTCTTTTTCACTTTGCTCTTATCATATGCACACAGTTTGGCTCTCAGTTTCATTTCAATAGTCATTCACTGATACTTCCCATGCAGATAGTGATGGTGCAAGGAGCAGAGATGAGGAAGACAAGGATCCTGCTCACAGTGAACCCACTGAGTTATAGTATTTCCTTCTTTGGACTTGTAAAGGTTTGCCTTTATTCCTTCATACTGGAAATGTTACAAAGTGAACTGAAGATGACATAAGTATTTACAAACTTGAAAAGATGAATGTTAGAAATGTATGATTAGTTTAAAATATTCAGTCCAATGAGAATATCTTTAGGTAGCTTTTTATTTGTTTGTTTTACCAAATAAATTAACAAGGGAATTCACACAATAAATAGTCCTTTTACTAATTGAGTCCATTTTCTGGTTTTCGGAATTGTTTTCAGGCTTTGAATATGTATTCATATATTTCAATTCTCTAAACCATATTCCTTATACTTTCACTTAATTATTATCTCCATGTGACATTCAGCAGATCAAGGCACACATTTAAGTGACTTGCTTAGGTTCATATGGTTTATCAATAACAGAGCTTACATTAAAATGCAGGTACTCTGGGGGTGCCTGGGTGGCTCAGTTGGTTAAACCTCCAACTCTGGTTTTTGGCTCAAGTCATGATCTCGGGGCAGTGATATCAAGCCCTGCCACTGGGCTGGACACTCAATGGAAAATGAAACTCTCTCTCCCTCTCCCTCTGTTCCACCCCTTCATACTCTCTCTTTCTTCTCTCTCTCAAATAAATAAATGAGTCTTCAAAAAAATATAGGTGTTCTGCTTTTCAGAGACCAATTTTTAGTCAGGTTGGTAGTAATCATATAACTCAAGATGCTATATGATTTGGTAAATTAAATTAATTGAGATATTTCAGACAGTAAAATATTTAGGTTCTCATCAGGATTCCAAACACAAAATATTTTAACATATCATTGTAGATTTATTTTAAGGGACTTTACAAAAAAATACAAAAAAAATAAAAATAAAGGGACTTTACATACTACATGAAATCATTTAGTTCTCATTATAATTGGAAGATGAAAACAAATCAGGAATTATTATCCACAGAAAATATGACTTTATACCAGTGCCTAAAGTTTTTTAACTCCTAAGTTATTGATTTTAGCTTTACTCCATGCAAATGGTTTAAATAAGAAAGTTTTGTATATATTGAGAGATTCAGGTGATTTTAGTTATGTTATACAGTTTCCACAATGTAGTATGACCAAAAGAGAGTTACATTTCTTTTGCTAAGATTCACTGAAAATTGTAAGCTCTGTCTCTCTGTCAGTGGGAACTGTTTTAGAAGAAATGAAATTGAACCCAGGGGGTAAGTAACAAGCTTTATCCATATAGTATCATGGCAGAAACCTTGGGTGTTCCCTTTTGGCAACCTCTCTTTAAGGAAACAAGAAATACATGATAAATGTTTTTCTTAAATAAATCACAGCTTTGAAAGTGGTTGATATACCCTGAGGTCCTATTGGGGAAAAAAGGAATTTGTGTCCCACTGTTTTCCTCTAGCAACTGAATAAGGCGTATATATATTAGTGAATGCAGGAGATAGAGTATGAAATAAACATCTGAAAAAATTGTCTACTGTATTTTAATGGATTAACAAATGCAATCATAATCAGATTTACCTTACATTTTATATTTAATAAAATTAGTTCCAAAAATATTTGTAAGTGTATGTCTCCTTGTAGAATTATAATTAATAAAGAATGGAAACAGAGGGACTAATAATCAGGAAGGTGAGTGTTATTTGAGTATCTGGGAGGATGATTTTTTAAAATATATTTAAAATCTCAAAAATTTAGAATTTTTCCAAATATTACATATTGTTATTGCCTGCTCCTTTCACAAAGTATATAGAGAAGGTACAGTACTTTAAGAATATTCAGTGCTTGGGATCCACCTTCCGCTCTGTGGTAAATGTGTATCATGAATTTTAAGCTTTGATATGACCACTTACCCTATTTCTTCAAATGTACTTATAGTCTTCTTTTCACTGAGTTTTGTTTTGTTTTGATTTTAGGGGGGAGGGGCAGAGGGAGAAGGAGAATCTCAGGCAGACTCCCTGCTGAGCTCAGAACCTGATCTCAACCCTGAGATCATGATCTGAGCAGAAATCAAGAGTCAGACACTTAGCCTACTGAGCCACCCAGGCGCCCCTTAATTGAGGTGTTATTGCAGACTCACACTCAGTTGTGAAAAATAATATATAGAGATCTCATGGACCCTTGATCCAAATAACATCTTCCAAAGATATATTGATATAGTCTACCAATCCTATTCGGTTCCACTGATTTTACATGTACTCCTCTCTCTGTGTGTGCATATGTGTGTATGTGTGTATAGTTCAATTCAGTTTCATTTCATGTGCAGTTTCATGTGGATACAAACATAACAAAATACAAAACAGTCCCATCACCACAATAATCTCTTGTGCTGTCCTTTTATAACTACATCCATGTCCCCCCCACTCTCTTCTACCCTTTACTATCCTTAACCCTTGGGAAGCACTAATCTCTTTTCCATCGTTATAATTTTATTATTTCAAGACACTATATAAATGGATTTTCTCTGATTTATAGAGTTTTTGAGTATGTTACATTGTATATTTTCTTTGTAGTTGCCCTAGATATTGAAATATACATAGTAACAATGGTTTACCACTTTGGGTTAAATAGTAAACCTTACTCCTTTTCAGTACCTTTGCCCTACCCACTTTTCACTTGTCTTGAGTATCCCCCCTATATTTGTTCAACATTGCATCAGCTGAGGTTGTAATTTTTGTTTAAACTGTCATAAAATAGAGACAACTCAGGAGAAGGATATTCTGTATTGGATTCACCCATGTGTTGGTTCTTCTGGTTGTTCTTTCTTCCTTCCTGATGCTCCAAGATAACTTTTGCTCTGTTTAAAGACATTTATTTAACTTTTCACGACAGATCTGCTGGAGAAACATGTTCTTAGTTTTCTTTCTTCTATGAACATATTTATTCCCTCTTGATTCCTGAAGGTTAGTTTCCCTGAATAAGTAAGTTCTTTTCTTTCAGTGCTTGAATAATGTGCCATTCCTTCTGGCCTCCATAATTTCAAAGAAATCCATTGCCATTTAAATTGGTATTCTCTTATAGATACACGTCTTTCTCTCTGGTTGTTTTCAAGATTTTTTTTTCTTTGTCTTCCAGGTTAATTTTGATGTATTTTGATATAGACTTCTTTGGGTTTATTATATTTGAGATTAGTTTGTCTTCCTGATTCTGTGTAGTACATTTATTTCTTTAGGAAAAATTTCAGTTTGGGACCATTATTTCTTCAAATATTTTCACTTGCTCTCCATGGCCACTTATAGTCAGTGATGTTCCCAGTTGATTCCTCTTGCATGTGGCCCAGTCTCTCCCAGAGATACTGGGAAGACTCACATTTGATATGTGATTAACAAATGAGTCTACCTAGACCACCTTCTATTGTAAGGTTATGGTTGGAAGAAGCCAGGCTTCAACTGCCTTTTATTATTGGCTGCGGAACCACTGTATTGTTCCTCAGGTCCCAGTGTCCCTAACCAGTCCTCTTTCCTCTATCTTTCAGAGTTCCACTCTCTTTGCCTCTCGCTTAATTCTGGGCTTTATAGCTGTACTTAGTAGGAAATACAATGATATTTAAACTTTTTAAATATTTTTCCAAAAATGAATCAAGGGGAGTGTGCTGAGAGATCTTTTGTGGAAAAAAAAAAAGTTCTGTGATAAAAAATGTGGTATGAACCAAAGGCTATACTAAAAGTATATAACCAAATAAAATAAAATAAAATAAAAGTATATAACCAATGATACACAAGAGGTTCCAATCAATCAGAGCAAATTTAAACATTCAGTACTTTACAGGTGTTTTTCAGCTGAAAGTCAGTTTGGGTTTAAAGGAAGTTCAACAAGTGTCTCTACTGCAGAGAATGTGCTTTTTATATGCTAATGGTCATTGTTAGTCTCTCGGGAGGAACACAGCAATCATAATTTTCCCAAATTTATCCGTGCATAAAAGTGAAACCTTCTGTTTATAGTGTATTTTGGTACTGGCATTCCATGAAAGCCTGTGGAAGAAAGTCATTTTTATCACCACCAACATCTACCTCATCTAAAGTGTTATACTAGATGCAATCATTTAATTAAAAAGTTATTTCTGAGAACATTAAGGAACAGATTCTACTTTGATTTTTTAAAAATCTGATAAAATATTTCATATTTAAACCTTCCTTTAAGCTGTATTAGGAAATAAGATTTAGATGTATGGCCAAAGACAATGTTTCTTGTGTTGCACTAAAAATATTTAGTAGTACTGACTTTTTCTAATGTTGTTATTTGCATTTGTCAATATTTTCTCTTTTCAGCTTTGAGGGACAACAGGATTGAGCTGGTTCGAGCTTCCTGGCATGAATTGAGTATCAGCGTCAGTGATGTGTCTCTCTCTGATGAAGGACAGTACACCTGTTCTTTATTCACAATGCCTGTCAAAACCTCCAAGGCCTATCTCACTGTTCTGGGTAAGTACAAGGAACTAACACGATGTGATCACAAACTGAAGCAACATGATTCAATTCAAATATGTGTTTTGAGGATCATATTAATAGATCTAGTTTAATCCCTTGTCTGCTACATTATAACAAAAGGCATTTAAAAAAACCACTTAGTCACTTTCCCCATTTTAGAAATATACCAAGGGAGGTGTATGGATTTGTATGACATCTCAAGGGCACACAGCCATTTGTTTCTTGACCAGCAACAGACACCAACTTTCTCGATTTTCAACCAAATTCCTTTCTGCCAAATCATCTCTATAGTATATATGGTGATCCTTTTATAAAGTAATAAAATAATTAGTATAATCAATTTAATGTGTCTATGGGGTGGTCCTCCATTTTATTATATAGGTCATCTGACTGGGGGCCTTTTCTGATATCTTAAGGCTTTCAATTATGATTTCTTTGTGTCTATTAGTGCATTTAAGTGACCCTGACATTTCTGTGTCTTTTTATCTTTTAATTTTGTAGGTTTTCTAGATTCTTAATTGAAGTACATAATGTCACTCTCCATGCAACTTGTAGCTTCTTTGTGGTTTTGCTTTCTAAATACTGGGCCTTTTCCCCAAAGGTTAAAAGTGATACAAAAAGACATTGCATTCTTAGAGATTCCAAGGAAATCTAGTTGCAGCTGAGAGCTCTCTGTGATTCTGCAGAAGTCAGTGGCCCAATCAGCTGAAATTGCTGCAGTTCATTGAAACACACCTGCCTACAGAACAAGTTAGAGGAATTTAAAAGATTGATTTTTTTTTTTGCCCCTAGCTTGCCTTCCTTTTTGATAGATAAAGGCATAACATTGCATATAAAAGAACTAATGCATGCTGTTCTGTTCAGTAGGAATATTAAAGTTAATCCAGCTAGTGAATTGGTTTTGTACATATGATATGAAATATGTTTCTTTGCAAATCCCACTGGGACTATTTTATAAAAATCTTCCCACATATTTGCTGCTACAGACAAAATATATCCACTAAAATGGAATATTTTGAGATAACAAGTGCCTAAGGTTAATGTATTGTTCTGTAGAGAGCCACCTCGAGACCCCAAGAACAGACAACTGGATGATCTCAGTTTATTAAATGGCATAGATTTAAAAAAAGAAAAAAAACAATATGAATGTGAATGGAAAAAAAAATCCAACTAATCAGACCATGTTGACCTGTCATTTATCATTGTTTTTCTTGTATTAATTTGTATTTCTCTTATTGGTGCTTTCCAATATTCCTACATTTTTTTTCTCTTCAAATTGAATGGTACAATAAAGAATCTTTCAGGAGATTATTATTGAATAATTTTAGAAGAAATTTGAATAATTTTAGAAGAAATTTTAATAAACTTCTACTGTGACGAGAGAATATTATTGTCCAAGAAAAATGTAATGTCCTATTATTTAAATCACCCATGTGCTATCCTTGCATATTAATTATCTGCTTAGTTATTGGATGATTTGGACTAGAAAATGTACTAGTGGTTAGTATTAACCATTAAACATAATATGCATCATGCTTCACAAAACTACTATTGAATTTCTAATACAAATGATATCAAGACATTCTTTAGAAGAATCCCAGAAGTATTGTTGCAATTATTGGTGAATCTCTTATTTTAAATTGCATTTCTAGAACAAAGTATTATAAGATAATAATATATTTTTAAGCTTTGAGAATTATAAAATCAGAAATGCAAAGTGCTATTTTGGTTAAACCACAATTTGCTAAAGAATAAAGAAATGTGCTTTGTGGATTTTTCCCCATTGTAAATAATCTACCTTCTTAAATCCTTATACTGATAAATGTTAAGATATATTGAATGGCTGTTTCTAAGATGTACATTGCAGGTAAGATTTTAAAAGCTTCTTTGAACTAAATGCATTTTAAATGCCTTCTGGATAATACACATACACATATACGTATTTACAGTAGTTCCCCACTCCACCCCCATCTACAATTTCACCTTCCACACTTGAAGTTACCCATGATCAACTGTGGTCTGGAAGCAAATGATCCTCCTTCTGACTTATTGTCAGGCCAATAGTAGCCTAAATGTTGCATTGCAATGTTTATGTCATTCACCTTACTTCTTCCTATCAGTCAGGCATTTTATCTTATATTCTCCCAAGAATAAGGGTGAGTACAGTACAATATTTTGAGAGAGACTGCTTTCATATAAACTTTATTATGAAATATTGTTGTAATTATTCCATTTTATTATTAGTTATCATTGTTAATCTTTTACTAGGCCTGATTTACAAATTAACCTTTATTTTAGGTATATATAGATAGGAGAAAAACATAGTATAGATAGTTTTATGTGCTATCCACAATTTCAAGCATCCACTGTGAGTCTTGCACTGTATCTCCTGCAGATAAGGAGGACTTTTGAATATACATATGTATACGTCTCTGTCTGTGTGTGTGTGTATACACAATATATATACAGAACTTTTTAATATGTACATTATATAGATATTTTAAGTAGTTTATTATATAAAACTTTAGTATTTTGATTGAAAATGTTGTCAGTTAAGAACCCGTTTATTTAGCTTTGTGAAAGTAATAGTCATCAGAATGAATCAGCCCTGGTGATTGATGTCCATGCCATTTTCTTAAATTTCAGGTGTTCCTGAGAAGCCTCAAATTAGTGGATTTTCATCACCAGTTATGGAGGGAGACTTGATGCAACTGACTTGTAAAACATCTGGTAGTAAACCTGCAGCTGATATAAGATGGTTCAAAAATGACAAAGAGATTAAAGGTAAAGAATGGGGAAAGTTTTCCCAAGTCAAAATTAATGTGCTGAAGCTGGTATAAAGTTTGAGATGCAGGGAATTTCTTTTTATAGATTTTATTTATTTATTCATGAGAGAGAGAGAAAGAGAGAGAGAGAGACCCGCAGAGGGAGAAGCAGACCCCATGCAGGAAGCTGCACGTGGGATTCGATCCCGGGTCTCCAGGATCCCGCCCTGGGCCGAAGGCGGCGCTAAACCACTGAGCCACCTGGGTTGCCCAGGGCATTTCTTTTTAAAACCACAGTCACTTTCTTATTAAGTATAATTTAAACCATTTACCTATTTCTTAAATTAGGTAATCCCATAAGGTATATTAATGTAATCCCTGTGTGCCCCATTATCCCCTTATGTATAACAAATCAAAAATATCATATACCTCATGGAAACATTGGAGAAATAAATGAGTTATTGTATAAAAAACACATAGATTTATGCTTGGCCAGAGTGAACACGAAGTACAGGTTAGGTATAATTGTTTCCAAACTCCTCTCGTATTTGGATTACAGACAAATTCCATGAATTGTGTCTTCAATTTGTTGGTTTCTGGAATTATAAAGTCCTAAGAACAAAATTGGCTCCACATCAATGAATCTGATTCCCCGTAGTTCTCAGAGGGCAAAAAATGTATTCATCTCAGTACAAATGCACAGTAGTTTAAATACGAAGTATAGCTCTGCTGTTACTTCGTATACTTAAATATAAACACACACACACACACACACACACACACACACACATAACCTGTAGGTGGGAAATAAGTTCATAGGCGAAATGCCTAGTGAGGTTAGTAGTTTGTTTGGTTTGGATTTTTCATTTTTTTAACTTCACATATGTGTATCTTGGACCTGATGTCACATGCACATTAAAATCCAACAATTGGTCATGATGATTGTTAAAAATGTTTCCTATATACATGGTAATGATGTGTTATTCTTAAGGTAACCTGCTAGGGGATAGGTTTATGCAAACCATTCTAATCATTTTAATTTTTAATTCAGATATCTTATTTTAGATTCACAATAATTCTTACTAATGGGTATATATAGGCCCAACAGAAATGATAATACAGTATAGAATTATATTATATAGATAATATGATATAGGATTCCTTCTGTTACTAAGAAATTATATGTTTGTAATCTAATTATTCTCTTTTCTATTTTAATTACTGTGTATTTTTCTGCAAACAAGGACTTAACCTGTAATTTATCCTTAATCACCACTTTTGTTGTAGGTCTTCTATTAAATACATGTTATTAAACAAAATTTGGAGAAATGCAAGCTCCCAAGACATGTTAGACATGTTGCTATGCTAAGTTAAACTTTTAGTTTAGTATATAATCTGATCACATATATGGCCAGGGCTCAGTAATACCCATTCTAATTCTGCATTTAGGATGTGTTTATTTAGGCATGTCTGGACTTTGTTGGATCTTTGTTAACTGGATCCTCTACCCTGCTTCCATACTATGAGAAGGATCTGATCCAGCCATTTTTTTTTCTATTTAAGCACTTTTGATCAAAAGCCCTAACCAAAAAAAAAAAAAAAAAAATCCCAAACCAAGGGATCCCTGGGTGGCTCAGTGGTTTAGTGCCTGCCTTCAGCCCAGGGCGTGATCCTGGAGTCCCAGGGTGTGATCCTGGAGTCCCGGGAACAAGTCTCATGTTGGGCTCCTTACATGGAGCCTGCTTCTCCCTCTGTGTCTCTGTCTCTCTCTCTCTCTGGGTCTTTCATAAATAAATAAATAAACTCTTTAAAAAAAAGCCCTAACCTGTAAAATAAATTTCAAATCCAACTTCCTTGGCCTATGAGAAAGCTCCAGTCAGTGAATTCTTGCAGAGCATATATGTCTCTCTGTGTGAAAGACATGGTTTATGCTAGAATGTTCTTCTTAAGTACTCTCTTTTGTTTTATTATTCATATTAATTCTGACATAGTTTGGTAGTCAGTTGCTCTCAATTTCTTAGCATTTTATTTGTGTTTCAAGAATTTGTCTCATATTCCCAGGAAGGTCAGAGAATAACATACTAGGTACTTCATTAATATTGATTGATAGTTTTTAACATTGTAGCCTGATGGAAAATCTATAATGCACTCATATTTCAGAATATACCTTGCTTTTTCACAAATTTGGCTTCTGCTCTGAGTACCAAACAGATTCCATTATATCCTAGGTAAAAACATTAAGGTTTGATCCTATAAACACCATACTGGAAAATCATCTGAGTAAAGATTAGAGAAAAAAAAATCAAGACAAAAAAACATACACAGAATCAGCTCATGGTTCTGTACTCCCCATTCAGAAATAGTGAGGTCTCCTTTATTTCTGTGTTCTCCAGTGTGTGGCCATTGAGAGAGCACTCATTATCCCTAAACTTGCATTGATCTACATAGCTTTTCTATTTCATAATTCTTCTTTTTCATATTAATATAGTTTGTTTTCACAGTTATATGGTGAACTTTTTGAGTGTGTTAAACTATCTTTATAGGTGTATATGCAAATATGCTGTGTGTAGCATCCTTACCTTTTAGCTAAGTGTTGGTCAGTTCAGCATAGTGACATTGTGTTAAGTTTCAGAGACTCTCTATAACGGGTATATGGATCTTCCATGTGACTTATGATATCAGGATGAGTCATTTTTCTGCTTTTCTTTTTTCCTTCATCACTACCTAACATAAATTTAATTTCCAAATTTCTGGGTAAAAGTTGTCTGAAAGTCATAGCTGATCAAGTTTTTTTTTTTTTTTTTTTTTTTTTTGCCAAGATATTTCCATAGTAGATTCCAGAGCACTGGTTCTCAAACTTTAGCAGGTATCATCACCTATAGTGCCTGTTAAATCTCGGATCATAGGGCTCTGTCCCCAAATTTTACGATGGAGTAGGTCTCGGTTGGAGCATGAGAACATACATTGTCAGCACTGTGTCACATGTGTGAATGATGCTGATATTCCTGTTTGGGGACTACATTGGTATAGAGAACATAAAGTTAAGAAGCATCCATAACAGGGGCGCCTGAGTGGTTCAGTTGGTTAAATGTCTGCCTTCAGCTAAGGTCATGATCATGGAGTCCTGGTATTGAGCCCCGTTCCGTGTCAGGTTCCCTGCTCAGTGGGAAGCCTGCTTCTCCCTCTCCCTCTGCCATTTTCCCACTTGTGCTCTGTGGCTCTCTCTATCTCTCTGTCAAATAAATAAAATCTTAAAATCAAAAAAGAAGCAGCAGTAATATATAAAAGTCTTGTCTCTGTGTCTGAACTTTATAGTCCTCACAAGTCTATGAGAAAACTAATGTTTGCCTCAAAGCACTGTTGGAAGGATTTTGTGTGAGCCAATATGTATAAAGTGTTTTCACAGTATGAGGAATCACTAAAAACATTTTTAATATTATTGTTATTACTCTTATTATTATTATTATTACCATCACTATCTTCAGCAAACCACAATTAATGCGTTGTAACAATCCCTGAATTAGTCTTAGAAAAATAAACAAATAAAATAATTCCTTCCAGGAATTCACATTTTGGGGCTAGACATATAAACATAAGATTTACAGGTATGGTAATAGATACATGATCTGGCTATAGATTTTGTACTAGAAAGAAGAAGAAGAAGAAGAAGAAGAAGAAGAAGAAGAAGAAGAAGAAGAAGAAGAAAAGAAGAAGAAGGAGGAGGAGGAGGAGGAAGAAGAAGAAGAAGAAGAAGAAGAAGAAGAAGAAGAAGAAGAAGAAGAAAAAGAAGAAGAAGGGAGCAGCCCTAGTTTGTGGGAGAAAATGTTAAGACTTAACAATTGATTGATGGATATAGGCACTCAGTAAATAGCTGCTAAATAAATAAGTGGATATTAAACAATGAATTGAATCATCATATGGGTTGTGGGTACAAGTAGGTAGTAGAGCATTCTAAGGAAATAAACCATGTATTTGTGCAGAGTAAAAGCATGTTTGCAGTAACCATAGAACTTTCTGTGTGATATAGATGTGAAAGGCAAACAGGAAAGCCAGGGCCAATTAAGTCTTCAAGGATCTTTTATTCCATAGTAAGGGGTTTGGAATTTTATTCTGTAGGCAATAGTTGAAACTTTTTTTTTCTATGAGCTTTAAAGAATAGAATGAAGCATAATTTTCATCTATCCGTCCCTTCCTCTTCCCCTGCCATGAGTCTAACTCAGAAATCCTTTTGGTGCTTCTGGATAGCTCTCTATTCAAAACCATAGGTGGTTTCACTGCAGCTTTTAATCTTCTGTGTTGTAAGGAAGTCTGAATATTTGACATTTAGTCTGGGAAAAAGATGAGCATTGCCTTTTGAAATTTGCTAGTTCCCTGAGAACTTATATTTTATGAACCTTACAAACTTTTATAAACTTCATTAATTTTTCATTTCATGTATAAGATTATCAATTTGTAGTTTGAACAGTTACTATCAGGAAATCTCCAGATTTCTTTCCCAGCTTTTACATTTCAGTGTTAGACTGAATTCCATGACAACTCTCAGTGCCCCACATCATGTGTGATCTCTTCCCCTTGAAGGTAGGACAGGCTTGTGAGTATAGCACATGTGATGTCACATCATTGATCATGTTGCCTTATATCGCAAAAAAGGACTTGGCAGATATAATTATGTGTCTCTCTTGAGTTCATCAAAGGATGATTCTCAAGGGCTAACCTGATATAATGAGGTGAGATCTTTATAAAGGAATGAAGTGTCAGAGAGACACTCTCCTCCCAGCCTGAAAGGAAGTAAACAGTAATCTTGCAATCCCTGTTTGCCACAGACTCCCTTGCCTATAGGGAGTCTGTGGCAAAGAGCTGTGAGGGATATCTGGTTGCTGGAAGCAGTTCCTGAGTGACAGCTAGTGAACAAGGGGGGACCTCAGACATGTAGCCTCAAGGAAATAAATTTATGAACAACCAGTGAGCTTGAAGAAGACCCTAAAACTCAGATGGGAATCACAGCCCCAGCCAACACCC